TTACAATAGTATAATACACAAAAAACAATTTACTATATTCAAAACATTAATAAACTAGAATCTTATGAACACTACATTGATCATATAAAAAGTATAATCCATCCGTCCTAACAAAATCAACCCCCACGTAGCTTACAAAACGATATTACAATAGAGATCTTCTGCGGTAGAGACAGAGATGGAAACAAAAACTCTGAACAAGTGTAGCCAAGAAAAATAATCTACGTCGACAATCAGCCCAAGAAAATAAAAAACAATGTCAAGTTAAATAACTACAATGCCGATATAGCCCAGGAACATAACTTGTTTCAATCGTGACAAATATGATTTGTAACATCATAATTCACTACTCAAAGCATGCAGTTGTGGTGGTTGATACATTTGGAAATGCCCCATTATTTCAAATACATTTCATAGTGGACTTACACACTGAAGACGTACCTCAAACACTGCCATCAGCTTTGATGACGTTCGACACCGATCCTTCCTCATCATGCCGAAGTTGTTGAGCTTCTCTTCTAACACAGATGAGGTCATCAGCACCATCTCTCTGCTCCTCAGCTGCTTCAATTTGGGAGTTAACAAATCCCGAATTGGTTGGCCTCTCTGATGATTGTTCTTCTAAGCTCCCTTGTTCAACTTCAACTGCATGATCTGAGAAGTCGCTAGCAGTGGATTTGGTAGCTGGAAGAAGCGAGACTCGGCAGAGAGGACAAGTTGTGTTGGTTGCAAGCCAGTGATCAATGCAATCGACATGAAACGTGTGCCCACATGGGGGTATCCTCTGGAGGCGTTCATCTGACTGGTAGTCCCCCAAGCACACAGAGCATCTACGAAAACAAAAATGTTAATAGAACCGATTTATCCATCTGCAGAGGAAACAACACCATACTCCTAATTGACCTTGTAAAAGTATAGGAAACAATTTTTTTATAAGGATCTTTTGGCATTGTCAATTGCACAAACTAACATTGGTAATGTATAAGCAGCACTAACATTGATTATTTAGTTAATACATCTAAAATTCATAAACCTGTCCATAAAAAAGTTTGTTAAAAAAAGAGAAAACAGTTGAGGATCTTTTGTACATAACCCCCTGCGATTTACAACTTGAAACAGACATTATCCACCTTGTTCAAAATGTCCTGTAACATCAGTAGATACTAACAGAATAAGAAAATACAAATTTTCTTTCCCCAAATATTTCCTATATTTCATAATATTCTCGCTTATGTTTCCTATATGCTTACTGGTTTTAAGTAGAACATAGAAAAATTCTACTATTATCGATAGATTCTGAAAATGTTTGACCAGATAATGAACAGAGATCTACCAAGGAGTAGCTGGGTCAAACCCTGAACGTCAACCCACACTTATAAACAAAAACAAGGAAAGATATGAAAAGAACAAGAAAAACCATAGAAAACAAACACCAAATAAAAGAACAAAAAATAATGGTTATCAAATCCAGACCAGACCAATTGGTCGGACAAGAGAAACCAGGATCGAGACCCGTAGCCAGTTTGGTGTAGAAAAATCTAATTGAATTGGCAAGCCATCCAAATTTATGGTGATCCGGTCATGATGAAATATCTCCAGAAAGTAAAAGGAGATAACTAGTGGATTAACAAACATTAGTATCATCCAAGTGCTTCGGGAAAGAGACTATGAAGGTAGATGCATTATCCAAGTGCTTCGGGAAAGAGAATATGAAGGTAGATGCATTATCCAAGTTGACTTCACGATTATATCCGGCTTTTGGGGGCAACATATTGAAAAAAACATTGACGACCCCAAGCGTTGATCTTCCCAAAGTACTGAATATCGCTGTCAAGCCCTGCTGGATGTACAAGATCGTGGAGCACAAAAAAACTAGTGTGTTGACTCTTGATCCGGTTGCATCTCAGTGATTACAGAGGGAAGCTTGCTTGATTTAGTCTAGTTAACAGTCAACTATGTCGAAGTTAATTAACCAGTCATATTTGACATGCCTCGGACCCTCTGAAGCAGAAAAAGTGTTATATAGCAGGGATACATTGACCTAAAGTGCTACATAGAACATATCAGCGGGAAGATCTTAGCATCTAAAGTGCTACGACAAATGTATTACTGGCCAACACTAAAGGACACATTGACCTACATGCAGAAACACCATCAATGTCAATTTAGTTGGCAGTAGAGTTACCTCCTACCAACTGTGCTTGACCTTTGGCACAGTAGGGAGTGGACCTGCTCGGACCCTTCATACCAGCATAATCAATGCAAGTATTTAATAGCCAATGGGTCGAGGTTGAACCATTTGTAAGCAATACTGAGACGCAGGTCGAGGCCTTCTTATAGAAAAAACATCATTATTTGAAGAGAGGGTCCCAAAAGTTCTCATAATCAACAACAACACTCAGTTTAGCAATGCAAAGCACAGGAGTTCAAACAGACAAATCAAGTTGACCAATCGTACACTCCTAGAAGGATTGAAGAAGTGCATCATCAACGGTGTAAAATTTATAGTGTTGTTGAAAGACTTTACACAATAGAGTGCCTACTTATCTATGACATCCTCAATAAGACAGAAGGCCCAAAAGTATGGTTTTACTTAAGTTGGGAAGGACTGCTAAAATGCTACTTGTAGAATAAAATTTTGATAGGTATACCAAGGAATGGTTCTAAATATTACCCGAACCGGACCATACCGAGTGGTATTTATCAGTCCAACGAGGAATATGGATGCAGACCACCCCTTTTTCCGGATCAGAAACCTAATCCTCCTCCAACTCATAGTCACATGAGTCTCCAACTCTATCATCTAAATAAATTCTACTCCTAATCTATTTAAGAAAATCATCAAAAACTCAAAATTAAAATTAGCAAACTACCCTCAGCCAAAATTTAGTCAAGAATCCATGAATAACACTCTCCATCTACCACATGGAGTATGTCAATTGGTACAGTGAATTTTTACACCAACTATGAGATGACACATGAAACCCAAATCAGTCAAACCTTGTTATGGCTGGTTGCGACAGGGAATATTTTCTCAACCAAACTTGACACAATAGATCTTCTCTAAGCATATATGCTTATGGCTAGTGCACTATAAAAAATATCCCCTCTATAGGTAAGCCATGAACATTAGACTACATAACATACTCTTTTCCCATGTCGGGCCGGTCTTTACTTGAGCATCGAAAGAGCCTTGTTGGACATGCCCTAGCAATAGTTTCTCTATGTCTCCATGCTGCTTCGAGGTCGTCCATATAGAAAAATAGTCAAGTTCGGCAACCACAACATCTCACTTCCATAGACAATTAATATAGTGAATATTTTTCCATAGACAACTTATTGCACCCTAACTGTTCCGTCGTAACGAACAGGTCAAATAGCATAATTGTAGAAGTAATGTGGCAACATATAAAGTTAGAATTGGCATTTCTAGTAAGGTAAAGACGTGCCAACCAAGTGAAGGACCATCTGATTGTTAATTGTCCAAGTAAAATAAACATGTTGTTCTACTCAAACTGAAAATTAACTTCGTTTACAAGGCAGAAATACAAATGTTGGAGCACTATGAATATTATAAACCTTTTCACATCAAACGCAGAATAATCATCTTAAGGGCTTTTGGTTCCATTGCTCATGATTTTTCCCTCATGTCATATGCATATAAAACAAAAATGTACTTCATTTTCAGCATAGGTATTGCAGAAAGTGGGTGTCTAAAAATTAGCCTGACTTTACATTCAAAGATCCCTGCTGTTGACATATAAGGCCCAAGCAAGCCAGGACAGAAGTTTCCAGTGAGAACTCGTTTCATTTAATCCATACATTCAGAAGATATAAATCAGGTGTAGTGAATAATATATTATGAAACTATTCAAGTTAATTCATGCCCAAATATGAACCTGTGTGATTTTGAGAAAATAAGTTACCTAATGCACATAAAAAATTTAAGCAACAACCATTAACATAAAGTGAATCAATAAATACAACTACACCTAACTCGCACAATCTAAATTGAAGTGGCGATAGGTGTCACTTAACAAAAAGTTAAAGAATTTCAAATGTACACTCAGATGAGATCCCACATATAGCAAAGAAATCTTGCAGCAATATGCAATAAGTATAACTAAAAAGTAAAGGGAAAAAACATGCAATCAGTACTATAAAACATTGGGGGAATTCACAAAGTTCATTGTAAGAGCAACTCACTGTGTCTCTCTGATCAAAAAGCTCTCCTTGAAAACGACGACCGGAAGCATCTCTCTGACTTCTTTTTTTATGCCCGATTCTGAACTCTGGATGGGGATAAACAAACGGTAATCAAAGACTGACATCAACAGGTAACATGCCTCGGTGACCAATACTCGAGACAAGAACTTACTCTCGGCACGTCTCCTCTACCCATCTGGGAGGCTCTCAGCCTCAAGGACTGCCAATGCGCTCGCCGCCGCCGCAAGTAGGACAAGTAGAATAAGAGGAGCAGGATGAATGTGAAGAAGACTGGCACGGAAAAGATGAAAGCCTGGTAGAGCTTGAGCTCAGGGGAAGCAGCTGAACAGTATGTGGGTGGGTCTGAGGAGCCACAAGACATCACCAAGATGAAGCCCCAAACGCAATAACTCCAGGAACAGTTCATACACCAACAGAAGCCAAATCTTTGAGAGATGAAGCCCTCGAAAAGCCCAAGAAAGAGGAGGAGGCAGGCATTAGGGTTTGTGGTCGACTTTGTTGGGGGAAAAATCGAGTCCTTCGATTCATGGAAGGGGCGGAAGGCGTCGCTTGTGGGGATGGGCAAGAGATGGATCTGATGCGAGGAGGGGAGGCAACATGTATGGGGTCAGATGGGCATGCTGTGAAGAGTGGGACCCTCTGAGGCCACGTCGGGCGAAAGTACGCGTGCGATTGGTAACATTATAGAGCGATAGGTTGGAGCCCCATCAAGCAATGCAATTTCGTGGAATTAGGGAAGCGGATAAAAATGCTAAATTTACACAATACATATTTATAATATGATTTTCTAAAAATATTTTTCTCAGATATAACTGGCTCAGTTATTATAATATTTTTGAATAAATTTATGATATTTTATTTTAATAATAAAAAACAATACAAAGCTCATTCAAGAATCCCGTAATTGAAAAACTTTTCAATAATCTTTTAACATGTGCATGGTTTAATATACATCAAATTTCGTATATACATACATACTATATATATAATAAGTAGATCAAGCCACTGATTTACTAGTAAGCCTGTTGGCCATTGCATGTCAGAGGAATCAAATACATGCATAAAAGAAAAATAGATGGCCTTCTTGCAACTTAAATTACAGCTTGGCTATATGACTTAGGATTAGTCCTAAAGATTTATTACTACCTAAAATTATCGTAAGAAATATAACAAGAAAAATATCAATTAATTGCAGGATTGAGAATAATTTCACTGCTTATATCTTCATAATTGATTGAAGTCATTTTAAAAATTATAGAAATTCTGGTCTAAGTATCCAAATTAGTTAAGCATGGATATGTTCACTTGTTGAATGTAGCATAAATAAATTGGATACCAACATAAATGAAACAAAGACCAGTTGAAATAGCTGGTCCAACATTCACAATTATCCACCACACAATTTATAGAGAAATATTTAGAAGGTACATGGAGCTACTGTTGAACAACTACCTGCACAAGCAAACTAGTAAATGTCAAGAGGCATCACGACCTTACGGTTCAGTATGGATCAGGCAGTTACTGATGCTGTATAATTTTTGTTCTATATATTATTTGATGACACTGGACGATATACTGTCAGATACACCAATATCAAACTGATCCAGTAGGTTACCGAAATAATAATAGGCTGATTATTAAGTCCCTGGAGACGATTACCCCTATCAAATCTATACCCACAATAAGTTTGAGTAACTACATGGGAAAAACGTGATTAGTCTACCAAACCAGTTGTCTATATAGTCACTAAATAAAGGAAGAAGAAATATAGACATCCTTTTAGTTGTGGCAAAATTCAACAGCCATGAGATATGTAACCAATTTTCACTCTTGTTGTAACAACAAATAGTCTCGATATTGAATGAGTGGAAACTTACTAATCAACTCACCGAGAGCATCTTCATCAATTTATTGTAACTTGGCAAATATCAACGTGCTATCCTCCAGCATAGCCCATTGCAAGCAGCTCCTACAATCCAGGAGAGAAGAAGTAGTGACGTCCTGGTTCTGTCAATTATATATTGCTCGGTCCTCTAATTACCTTGTTTCACTTCTTAGTTTTGTCTAACACCTCAATGTATCTCTTTGGAACACCATAGTGGTCCACGAGGTGCTTTGCCAGGTCATCGATCACACCTCCTTGAACCAGCACTTCATGTTGTCCTTTCTTACCTGAAACCAAAAAAGAAATCACATGAAGAAAGCATTAAACAACATGCAACAAGAATCTAGCATAAAGAAACGACCACAACCACAACAACAATCTCACAATCTAAACATCAAGGGGTGGCTTCAAAGGGAACTCAACTAGATTCTACAAGATAACCCAAGATTTCACAAATATTATGATACACCATAACTATACAGTACTAGTGAAGTTTTAGAACATTACCAGTTTCACTTACCATTTGGAACACCATTCCACCGAAACAACCATATGCTTACTTTCTTTTTATGATTTCTATATACAATATTAAAAATAAAAACCCCCATAACGCTTACTGATTATTTCACAGACATTCCGATACACAAATGACATGATATTAAACCAAAGTAACAGTTCATGTCAAAATATCATATTGTGCAGGAGGGTTTAGAATTTATTTGATTATTTTAGTTAGGCATGGTATTTCTAGCAAGATGATCTTGAGGAAAGCTGCAATCATTTATCGAGGTAGCAATCATATCCAGACTTCCTAAGACTATTCTTAATGGATTTTGCAAGTTATTCCTTTAAAACTTTAAGTATCATAGCAGCATAATACCCACAATAGGAGTGAACAAGTACACCATCTCCAATTATACGGCGTGCAGATACATCATCAGCAATCATTTAGCTCTGCTGAGGGCAAATTTTTTTGATAATCCAAGAGCCAGTACTACTTTCTCACTGTTGTACACCTTTGGTCTTCAATGCCTCTCATGACACCTAATTTGGAAGGTCAACATACTACCTATCTAAAATAATAAAACAAATGAAACTAAGGTTCGCAATACCGTATCGTACCGGTGTTTCGACCTGGACTCGGTACCGGTACGGTACAGTGTACCGAGCGGTATACTCAGGTGCACCAAGCACTGTAGCATTGCTACAGTATACCGGTGCACTGTACTGCTACTACAACAGTGCACTGCAACAGTCAGTTTACTACAACAGTGCACTGCAACAGTCAGTGCTACAGTGCTCGGTGCACCTGCAACAGTCGGACCGGTAGCAGACGGTCCGCGTACCGCTAGCCTGTCAGACCGGTACGTACCGCCCGTACCGGGCGGTATGATTCAGTATGGCAGACTCTGAATGAAACTACCATGACTTGAATGGGGACCATCTAAAAGCACCCACATAAGCATGCAATAGTCAACTGTGTCAACCAAGAAATCATTCTTGTCCTGCTACACAATTACACAAGAATCAACCTTATGCTCATTCAGTAAGATCAAACCTGGAAGTTCTGCCACTGATGTACTGCATGCAAACTTCTTTTGCAGTTCCGTAGCCAGTGAATCAGCATCCAGTAGGAAAGTTTCCAGACCTGAGACCCTCGTGACCTTCTTGTTTCCTTGTCGTCGTTCTGTCATGATCTGAATGGGTCTAGCAGCACCTTTGCGGACAGCAACTTCATTCCCTTTTGATACTCTATGATGAACTTGCATCCTGCTTAAAAAAGTTGATCCTAGATCCTTCTTGTGGATTTCTGTTGGATAAGCTGAGCCCTTTTTAACAGACCCTTTGTAGAGAGCATCACACAATGTAGCATCCAGAACTACCATTGCCTTATCTGTTGGCTTAACCAAATTTTCCTTCTCAACATACCTGACAATTCCAGGATATCACTACATAAAATGAAACTTAAGTGATAACAAAAAGATTTTGCAAGCCACATAACTCAATAAAACTTGCAAGACACAAAATGCAGAAGGTTTTAGATTAAATGCACCTGAAGACAATGTCCGAGGAATCTGATGCACTATAAAAACTTCCAGTGTCAGCTCCAAGAGTTGTGAATATGGAATTTACATGAGTGCTTGGTTTGTAGACTTCGACCACCTGTAGTTGGAGTTTCATCTGTGAACCCTCACCTGAGTTATCATGCCTTTGTTCGGCACTCTCTTGAACGCGCTTCCCTGGCTTAAATGACATGTAGTCTGAGTGTCCGCGGTTAACGCCTAGTAACATGACCTCTTTTTTATATCTGTCTTCCTTTGCTGATATCTGTTCAGAATTTATGATTAACAAGAAGAAAGTATTTGCATCAACTTATAAAAATGATATGTCTAACAACTTGTAGATCCCTGTCTAACTCTTGTCATACAGATGACCGTAGAGAAGGAAATGAGATTCAACAACCACTACAATCATGCACATCCTCTTTATATCCTTGTACCTTAAAACAATTTTCTTAGTAATAGCACACATGTTACTGTCTCAATTTGCAAAGTGGTGCTATTTGCTCCATTATTAGATGTGAAGTTCAAAGCAAGAAACTGATTAAAGAATATTTTTAAAAAACCTTTTGACACGAAGAAATAAGCAGCAAGTAATAAATTTCTTTTTCAAATATTACTTAAAAGCTTTATATAAATGCTCACCAGCCCAGCAGAAGATTTGGACTGCAACCACTTGGAAAGTTTCTTATAAGAAGATTTTTTAATGTCCAAAATAATGCCTGCAGGTCTGCATGGTAGTATATGGTTTGACCTATGCATCACAAGCACATTACAGCATTAGAAAAATTGAGTTATTTAAAACGACAATTACAGAACTTAAAACACAATGTACCTGAAGTTAACATTTATAAACATAACAAATCAAATGTGCCGTGGTAATGATAGCTTAAGGGTTTTGAAGTCCATCGATTGAATTATATGTAGTCATAAAGTCACATATTTTCTCTGAGGAAAATGGAGGGTAAAACCAATAAGTCTCAGTGACTGTATCCTAAAATGATGAGTCACAGTAGTTTACGATGTAATGATTTAGCAATTTTAATAAATTTCAATGAAGTTATCAAGAAAACCAGTACAAACTGATAGGAACTTGCAACTTCCATGCTCCAGGAAAGAATGTTGCACAGATAACTCCAATGGATAGAAGGGGCAAATGGCAATATGAATAACGAAAGCGAGTCTAGATATATTTGGCCTTTTAAAGACTAAAAAACTAAAATCTTTAGGACATGGAACCTCTGCCTTGTTGATGAAAGGTGAACCATTTGAACCATTTTCGTAGATGGGTACTGCAATATGACATTAATTACATTTTTGAACATGACAAATTTGAATAAATTTAACTAGTAACTAGCTGACTCAACCAGTACGCAAGATTTATTTTCAATAAGAAGAACCAAAGCACTTGCAAAAAGTGATTCACTTCAACAACCAGGATAAATGCCCAGAAAATTGGGCTGTTTTACCATAGAGTGCTTCCAGGCATGGGAAGGTCTTTATCTTTGACAGTTGTATGCAGTGCTTGCAAAAGGCATTTGTCCAGGAGGGCATCAATTTCTTCCCCAGACAAAGTTTGTTGTTCCTTCTCATCACTTTGTACTTCAGCTGTTACACTGTCTGAAAACTTTAGCCCACTTATATCAGCAGTGATTTCTTCAGAGGTTTGAACACCAACATCTAAGTTTTTTGAAGCATCAACATCTGTGCTACCCTGGATATTTGTTGCAATAGGTCCGCTTTCTACCACATTAATATCATCTTCATCATTTGAAGCATCTGGATGTACATCAGATGGCTGAGAAATCAGTAATAGATTAGGATCTTCCATGACAACATCTACCAAAAAACCAGCATTTGGAACATAATGACCTTCGGCTGATTGCCTGTGTGGAAGTTTAATAAAAACGAGAGTAAGATAATATTGATAACATATTCTTTAAAAAAATTTCTTCTCTTTGGCCAGGATACTTGCCATAGAAAATCACGATAATAATGTGTTATCCTTAAAGCTTTCCCACGTAAACCAGCTCTTTGGGCTTCTGAACTACTCATGGTGGTGGCTCCAACCTGCAGACTTTGGATACAGCTTCACAACAATAGTTTGAAGTTTGAACAGGATATAGAATGCAACTGAACTTTGAACTAAGAAAACTAACTGTTATAGATAAAGCCCACATACCGCGATTGGTGCTGGATTTCCAGGAACTTTTACTGCCCATGGCTGCCCAGCTAAGAATGAAGGCAGGCCTTCAGGAGGTATACTAATGCCAGGGAACATCAAATCAGCACCTCCAATCACATAACGAGAGACCTCACCACCCTTGAGCAGAAAGGATGGTAAGAGTTCAGGAACTTTCCACAATGCATAAACTGCAAATTTGACAATATGTTATGTTCTTAGACTACCAGTAATTAGATGAATTTTCACTAGCCACATAATCCAATAAACATTTAATTTCCGTCGCAAATATAAATCAACAAGATCATTTAGAATTAGTTAGAACCTTATCCTTACAATTACAGTCATGCCACTGCCAGTCTGCATAGAGTATAAGCATAACACATGATGCATCGAGAAAAAAGAAATTCTGCTGAAAGATGCATTCATTTAGCTAATTCAATTATTCAATATGTATATTCTCACAGAATAACCATATTCTTTATATGACAAAATATAATACACTTAGAATCGTAAATATATGCACTAAACTATAGTAAAGTCTTTATAAAGGCAAACACAGAACATAGGACTAGTAAAAAAAGAAAAAGCAGCCAGAGAAACACAAGAAATTCAGGCGATTTAGGAAAAAAATGATAAAAATTCAATCCTTGCACGATTGTATCCATGTCAAAAATGCTGCCTGGCCTGCATAGATAATTATTATAGCAGGATACTGGCAGCCCACGAGTAGTATGGATGAACAACAGTTAAAACAGATAGAGGACTGTAGTAAGACAAAAGATCACATAAGAATGAAAGCAAGTAAAACTATCAGTAGTACTTCCTATATTCTATTGTATGATAGCAGTATGTTGCAGTGTTTTTGACATGGATACAATCCCATTTATGTCAATATTAGTTTTCAAACTAGAAACCAAATATACTTCTTTGTGCTTGGTAATGTTTTGTTAGGTCACTCTTTATCTCCCTTTGAGCGAACTGACACCATCTTAAATGCATTTCATTTATTTTATCTTATTAGGACAACACTTGTTGGTTCACGAGTGTAGGCATGTCTTTTTTTTTTTCCCTAAGTAATCTTACGCATCTATCTCGGAACTCTCATCTTGGTTTCCCATGCACCTCTTCCTTTTAATCATTCCACATTCACTTAATGAATATAGTCTTCTTTAATCTCTCATTTTTGTAAAATAATAAATCCAAGATACGTAAAACTTTTACTTATAATGATGTCATATCTAGCTACCTTAATTTTACTCTCGTTTTTCATATAGCATTTCTAAAGTTTAATTTTATACATCCATATTGATTCCTACTTAAATTAAAGGTTAAAACCTTTAGTTTAAGTTATTAGTCTCTATAACTCAAGTTCAAAACCAATTATAATTAAACTATCATGATAATGAGATATTATATCCCAACTATTTTGGGTCTTTTACATGGATATTTGCCCACCATTCAGCTCCATACAAGGCAATATCACTGGTTAGTAAAGTCTTCTTTCTTCCTATACCTCTCCCCATCACTAACTCTAATTGACTCATCTCGGCAAACCACAACTTCCATAGGTTTTCTTTGAACAAAGTTATACCATCTTAGGTGATTCACCCTAATTTATCCTCTGCCTGAGTCACACTTGTTGTTCTTTATTTATAATTTTAAACATCCACCTCGGTGTTCACTTCTTAACCACACTAATTATTATACATGTTTTTTAAGTCATAACCATCCACCACTTAGCATAGCTTGTCTAGCATCTACTTTATAAAAAAATGTTTGGAGTAAGAGGGACCTGAGAACTCATAAAACCCTCAATGACCCTTTCCACCATACCTTTACTTTATTAGTAATATCTTCACAAATTTCTTCATTTTGTTGAATAATAAATCCAAGCATGGTTTCAGATACCAATTAATATGGTATGCACCGGCCAGTATATGCCAGTCAGGTACCAAACCATTTCAGTACTGCTGTTTTTTCTTTTGTTGATGTCAGATAGTACGGGTTGGTGTACCGCATAGCATACTGATATTGTATTTGTCTTGTAAATTAATGAAACAATTTCAAACTGAGTTTCAAGTTTTTTAATCCAAGATGTTTAAATCTTTCATTTACATAAATTGTTGTTCATCCATCCTACCTATATCCTCAATCCTCCTTTTACTACTATTAAATTTACATTTAATATATTCGGTCTTAGACCCACTTAACACACAACATTTAGTTTCTACGATTTGTCTCCACAACTCAAGCTTATGATTAATTTCATCAAAATTCTTGTCAACCAAACCAATATCATCTGCTAATATATAACATGTATATCAATCCAATATATGACTAGTAAATTCATTCACTACTAATGTCAAAAGGTAACAACTTTAACTATCCTTCATGAAATCCTCTAGTTATAGGAAACTACACTATCACTTATCTTTTATTATTAAAAAAATATAGTGACTTCAACATCATGGACTTGCTTCAAATTCTTTCAACTAAACTTCCTATTTTCTTTAGATAATGCCCAAAGTACCAAGACAGCTCTACTTGGAAACTCCAATAAAGTATAGTGAGATAAACAAAGAAAAAAGCTGAAAAGGAATGCAAATCCTTCGACCAATTATCCTTAACAATTGTCCTTTCACTAGTGCTTATTGAATTAACTTTAAATTTTCATATTTGATGATGCTCTCTTCCCTTTCTACATCATTCTTAGGTGAGCTAGGTCAACCAATCAGCACATTTTTTATAATAGATCAGTAACCATTTGTGCAATGTTCGAAAATTAATCACCTACATAGCAACCATGATTTTGAGTATAGACCAGCTCTTGTTGTCATTCAATCACCTGTTCCATCTGATCAATAGTTTTTACCATTTGTGGATGTGAAATCTCAACCATTCAAATTTTGTTCCGTAAACATCTGTTATAGCCACTGAGATCACAATAACAGAAATTGCAATGCAGCCTAGTTGACAAATTCAACTCGAGCGAATTATTTGCCACTCTAACAGGCAAACAAATCATTGATAAGATTATGTCATGTGAATTTATTTAAAGATGTAAGCAAGGTAGATCTTTTAACAAGAATCTCAAGACACACTTCATTTGATGTTCCTAACAACATTAGGCTGAAAAGGGTTTTCTTCCGTAAAACCCTTTCTGTTATAGCCACTGAGATCACGGTAACAGAAATTGCAATGCAGCGTAGCTGACAAATTCAACTCGAGTGAATTATTTGCCAATCTAACAGGCAAACAAATCATCAATAAGATTATGTCATGTGAATTTATTTAAAGATGTAAGAAAGGTAGATCTTTTAACAAGAATCTCAAGAGACACTTCATTTGACATTCCTAACAACATTAGGCCGAAAAGGGTTTTCTTCCTTGATAATAAAACCCAATTCAACAATATTGATCATAGTTATCTTGATTTCTAGTTCTCCTTGGTTTATGTTGTGGTTGTTAAAAAAATATAGAAGGCGGAACAAAAATAATAGTGGTTGAAGATTGTAAATTCAAGTCCTTTAGAGAAACTTAAAGACCTCACTACAGCATACAATCCATAAATGCTTCATAAAGGACCATAAAAACACTTCTCAATAGACAATCAATGAAGAAAAACAGCATAATGTTCATTGTTTGTTTCCCCCCCTTGGAAACAAAGTCCTAAAGAGCATCGTCACAATCATGGTTGAACAAGAGATGAAGCAACACATTCATGAAAAAATACCTAATAGGGTAACATACATAGTACTGAAATGTGAAATGGCAAAGTAGACATGAGTAAAAGCATATAATAATTTGCAAATACCTGTAGGATATATCTCAGTGCCTCGTCCATCAATGTCAAAAAGCATTGGGAGCCCACCTTCAATAACATATACATGAACCTTGTTTGAATACTTGGCCACTGTTATCTCAGCCTAACATATTATGATGGAAAAAGAAAAAGAAATGGTGTAAGGTGTAGCAAAATAGATAAAGAAAAATATAGCAATATACAATATGAGAAAAACAAAAATAGAGCAAATACAAGTGTTTTGTCAATAGCCTTGGATTTATACTAAAAATGATTGGTCTCTTATTGATGGGATCAACTTCTTACATGTTTCGAAGATAAATAATCGATTAAATAAACAACAGTCTTGATAATAGTTACTTTTGAGTTCCACAGGAAAATAAGTTACAAAGCACACTAATAGTTTGAGTCCTAGATGTAAACCATCATCTCAAGATATAAAGTAACACTGAGTAAACTATGGGCCCAAGAAAATTCTAGGGAATGAAAGCAAGCAATGAATTTGAACATGTAGTCAACTAAAGATTCATGAACATAATACATCTATTAGGCTTGCCAATAAAGAATGAGTTCTGGAATACTGCATAAATTGCAAATGTCATAATTAAGTGAGAACTGAAAGCATATATGAATTGATCAACTATAGCTTCAGTAAGATGCAATTTCTATAATAAAATTCATGAAGATAGAGAGCTAGTTCAACAAAATTTTTACTGCTGACATTTATTATTCTTATTGAACATATAGGAAACAGCACTACTTGTTACGCATCCTGCAATCCCGGAATAGATGCAAGCTTTTATGTAAAAAATTTTCAAGTCTATAATGTCATTTGGATTTTAAAACCAATGCATGACTAACAAATTATCTATGTTTGTGAAAGTTGTTTAGGTATAACATCTAAAATTTTGTGCATTCACATATTGACCATCATGGTCAAGTATCTTCTTTTTTGGACAGATTAGAAAATGTTACAACAAGAACTTGTTAATTTAAGTTCAAATACCAACTAAAGTCTTTATCCTTTTTCTTTTCTTAGCTTCTGCTAGCATAGATCTGATTGTGCTCAAGTATTCTTGTAAGAAACAAGACAAAAGGATCATATGCAGTGCATTTATTCTTTTTATCACGTGTTGCAGCCTTCATGAATACGTGAATACAAGTTTTCACCAAACCATGTACTTGCTTGCACTTTTTACCTTAGGGGGAAGGATTTCATCAATATTAGCATCTGAAGCAAGTGGAAACCTGTCCTTTGCTGTTCTTCTCAGCTTCTTCTTGTCAGCTCCCGACAAGCGTTGCGATAGTTTTGCCTCAACTGGCTTTTTAAACATGATTACTGGATGGTGTCGAGCAGAGTAAGTGTAGATGGTGCTGCACAAAATGAAGTTCATTCATGCTACCAATTTCTTTGTAACTTTGCAGAAAACCAGTTTAGCATTTCATTCTGACTAATAAAAATTTAGCTTTACACCTACAAATACTTAGATTTGTTTTTAAGTAAGATAAACCAAAAAAAAAAAAACAGAATTTACTCTATTATGCAAAAAGAAACTACTAATGGCAACATGTAGCAATACAAAACCCGTAAGTGACTCGTGATGGTTGCAGTTATTGTTGCAAAGCCTACTGAATATATCATGCGAAGAATCTAGAATAGACAAACACCAAGACCACCATGGCAAGGCTATACAGGAAAATCTGGTCATATCACCCATGTTTCTCTCATTATCAATTAAATGCCGAGTTCCAGAAGCTCAGCACACAACTACCATTGCAACTTCAGATTCCTTTCCCCCAACATCAGTACAAAGCACGATCACGACAGAAAACACAAAGGAAAAAGAAATGAACAAGATCTCAGCGCAGTAACATGCCCTAATACGATCCGAGCGCAATAACGAGCACCGATCCTAACAAAATCCAATGGGAAAGGGTTCAAATTAGGTTGAGCACCATTAAACCCAGGGACGGATTCGATTACCGACGGAAACGCCACGTTCGCTCGAGGCAGAGTCGAAGATTCTGGAGACGAGAACTAAAGCGGCGAAGACAGGCAGGTGAGCAGGTATAAATAGGAGTTCGCCGTGGAGCTTCGTCCCGAGGTAAAGACCAAAGGGTAAAAGCAAGGCTAATTGAAGCCGGGGGAGCGGGTCGGCTTTCTTGGTCTATGTGGGTCGATTCAATCCGTTTAAACCGGGTTCAAATTCCAGGTCGGCCGAGTCAAGCTGGATCAGATTCCTTTGGATAAACCAATCTTCCTGATCACTTAAACCGGGTTTTGAGATCTTCTACTCTCATTTCCATTCTCTTCCGGTATTCTATATCCCTTCCACTCAAAACCCTTTCCATGCTAAATAGTTTGTTGAAGTAGAAATCTAATTTCTCAAATAGAACATTCCAATCGAAGATCCGATGACTAGTCTCTTCAAAATGAGGTAAATTCGAACCCATATTTCATAGTTTATCGATTTAATTTAGGGGCTTAATCAATTTTTCTAATTTGATTTATACCTAATTTTGAAGGCTTGATGATCATGCTCAGAATCTAACTAATAACATGTAAATCAATAAAGTCAAATTATATGTTGTATGTGAATTAGTTTTCTGCTACAGAAATTTATGATTTGGATGCAGCTGATGAGTGTGAGTATCCAGCACTTATTTCATCTGAACATATGCTTCAGATATGAACAAGAGATCATTATAAACTGGAAAACGAGACTGCATTGTCCAAATACAAAAGAACAAGATATGATTATTTACTGTCAATGGGTTCATGTGGATGGAACCACAAAGCAAATAAACGAAACCAAAGTTCATTTTTTTGTTATTGTGATGCATTACAGTCACATTCAGTGAGGAGTCTGAGATCCAGTCAACAAGGAAGAAAGAATCATCGTCAGATCATATAAGAGAAACCCAAAAACTATCACAAAAACAAGACAAATTGGAAGAGGACTTGAAAGAAAGAGGAGAATACCTTATAATTTGCTCTATCATTCAAGATCATATGACATGCGTACTAGATGCTTCCAGCAAAACTCATACCTCAGACCTCAGTACACACCTTAACCACCAGAATGTGACTTCCTCATATCTATCCTCGGAGGAAAAAAGATCCAACATCCACACCTTGGTCATCTATGATAAAAGAAGGTTAGAAAATGAAGACCATAAATCTGATCTTGCAAAAAAGAAAATAAGCAGCCATTTGATTTTTTGCAACTAATAGTGCTTGAAAATAATAGTTGTAAATAAGCAAATGCTACAATTAGCAGGTGCAATTATTTAAATATCTGCCCATGCAAATGCAACATATGAGAGAAGGGGAAAGAACAATATTCACCTTTTGCTAGCAATTACATATGCAACTATGATATATGATTTTCATATCCTAAATAAGACTATGAGTTGATTTTTCTTCATCCATCATATCAGGCACAATTTAAGACTATGTATGACCATAAAGAAAAGCTGATAAACCAAGAGATAAGATATCATTCACATGCTCATCTGGCTAGAGAACCATTATGTGGTACTCGACTGAATAAAAAGTACAAGTACTTCAAGGATTTCTGATTCCCATGTTAACCAAAACCAAGAAGGCAAAATTATGTCACATGTATAAAAAAGCAACAGCCTCCCCAGGGTATCTCGATGCTACTGTAGATGAACCCAATGGCTTTAATTCTTGGCTTTCAATATTAACAATCTATACCAGTGAACAAGACTCAGATTTATGCTAGCGAGTTGGTTGAGGATATCCGCTCTGTTACTGAGGCTGCCACCAAGCAAGAAAAATGGTGGCTGTGAGAATTGAATCAAGTGGTGCTCACAAAGTTTATATGCTGGTCGGTACAACCAACCAACTAAAAATCACAGCTTACAAAGGCAAAATCCGGTCATATTTGTACACCACATCTTACCAGTTTTGGAAGCCAACTTAAGCTCTGATGAAAATGCTCTGAACTGGATCATCATAACTTGTTGCTATTGCCTTCTTTCACAAGGCTATCTTCATTAGACTAGTGCTTCATGATTATATAATTGTCAGATAAACCAGGAGATAAGGAGAATAATTGGTTTCAGGAAACTCAGCCTAAATATCTCCCCAAAGCCCCACCAAATGGAGACTAGAATCAGGATGATACGGCTAATCCAAGGCCCATTAAAGTAGCTCAGCTGTGGATAATGTCTTCTCCTGATACAGAACCAAAGTATAATAAATAAGAAATGCACAGGAGACCAAGAATAGCAATAAGACAAGGAAAATGGTCGATACACCGAATGCATCTGTAGCAAGACTCAGTCGGGGGCATCACCTGAAAGAAAGATTCCAAACATGCTATCTGCTATAATTGGATCTAAGATGGCCCTCAGAGTTTGTGTACATAAATTTTCTCTGCAGCAAAGATATCTTACTCATAGCAACCCTAAAACATTTTATGATGATCTAATCAAATTAGGTCTATCCAGCCATGATAACTGTCAAAAAATGCAAAGAAAATGTGATGTCCTGCAGCTTGATACAGAGACCAAAGGGAAAACTGCTTAGATTACATAAAGCAACAATTTCCAACAACTAATAGCTTTAGCATCCTCTGAGTGAAAGGGAACTTAAGAATTTCATAAACAGCATCAAACGCAATTGAGTTATGATAAAGGGAACAGCTTCTGCATATCAACAAGGAAGACACATGGTAGCAGTACATGTGGAATACCTGCATGCAGTAAAAGCTACATAATCAAAATTCCTTATCTTTTTGAAAAAAACAATGCCTCGGATTAACAGTAGCCCATATCAAATTCCCAAGTATTTAAATGCCAGTATTGCCTTGTTCTAGAATAGCTAATTGAAGGTACAATTAATCTAGAATCTATCCCTAAGATTAAGCAATTAGACAGTATTTTCACAAAACTGAATTTACCACAATATTAACCTATTTTTCAGTAACTAACAACATACAGTTCCGGATCTACAAAGGAGAAAGTAAAATCAGGATAACAGTAGAAGATATTTAAATTCAACACCTCAACCCACATTCAGAATTCAAATGCAGCAGCAATAAAATGTTTAAAGACAATAAATTTAGTTGCTTCAAAGTAATAGCATATGAACTCAATCTGAGAGGTAGAATATCATAGCCACACCAGAAGATTACTGGTCAAACTAAACTACTGCTACAACTCATGAACAAGAATAAGTTGATAAAAGCATGACATTAAGGTTAATTTTTTTGCAACAATATGAACACCATATCATCTTTAATTAAGGAGATTACTATTTGCAATCCCCTTTTTGTTATTTACAATCGTTTTTATAAATAGATATATATAACCTTAATTTATAACTTAATTTTAATAAAATATTTTCACTCCTTATCTACAACCTTGTTTCTTCTCCTTTTTTTCCCATTCTCCTCCTCTTAATCGCCCAATGTGAACTAAAATGACGGGAAAAAAATAGATGATGAAATGGGACAAACTAAAGATCGAAGAGGAGGAGATTAGAAATAGCTTTTGAAGTTTGTTACAATGATTTAACGTTACAGTGAGAAATAAGGTTATGTGCATTCTGTAAAAATCCAAAAGACATAATCATCAATTGCATTAACGATATTATATTTCAGACCTTTGCACTATGAGGTGTACGGACGGTGGGGGAGAGCCGGAGGCAATAGGGTGTACAGGTGAGGGCTGTAGGGAAAAAATAAAAAATAAAACTTTAGGAGGACTGCAAACAGTAAAGTATTATTCTATTAATTTCTAAGGGATTATTAATAGTAAGAAGGTTGGGAATGGTAGTAAAGAGAAGCAACATAATTGCGTTTGTTTATTAGCATTTACACCGTCTAGCAACACGGATATCATCAGAAAATTTCCGACGAATCAAAAGCCAAATAGTCAAATAAGTGAAAATAAATTGATGAAATTACCTATAAAAGCATCACAAAAGGAGCATCGGATCGAGGTTGTCTCTTCGGACAAATTATTCCGGGGACCGCGGGAGAACCAAATCGGGCGATCGGGACCTCAAAGGGCATCTCTCGCAGCGGCGAATCAGGAACCGAGGAGAAAGGCACGAGATCACGGAAGAGCAAAGGGAAAAAGAGTTGGGTAGCACCGGGAGATGGAGAAAGAAAGAGGACACGCGAGGGCCGGAAGTGTGAGGCGTCGCGACGCGGATGGGCTGGTGACAGCCTCGTGGTTCCGGTTGCGGCAGGCGGTGCTCAGCAGCGGCAACGTGCTCTGCGGTTTGTTTGCCTGCGGAGAAGCGTACCGCGGGAGGGCGGGCGATCGTTCGATCCACCATCAATTCCCGATCGGACGGTTGATAAGGGTCAGTAATTTTAGATCGTTTACCATGGTGGACCCCGTGATGTCTCCAATCACAACGCAGGTATCGTTCATAAGTATACTTTCAGCAAATAGAAAGAAATAATAGGAATCTGACCACCATTTGGTTCGGTTCAACAGATGTATTTTAATATTAAAGTATTATATATATATATATAGGTTATTAAATTTAAATAATTAATCTAAAAGATTAGCAACAATTCTAATCTGAGCTGAAATAAAAGCAAGGAAATATCAAAGTCCCTAAGTCCCTTGAAATGTTGTTTCCTGCATGTAAGCTTCGAAGGTGATAGTAAGGCAGTTAGGGAATGTTCTGTGCCAGAACATTTCATGAAATATTTATTTCTATTTTAATCCATCGTAAAAGATTATCTTCATTATGATAATCAAGATCAATAATCATTTACTAAATTTATGTTTGATCGTCAAAAAGATCGGATTGAAAAATCAACCAGACCTTAGTCTTTTGTAAATTAGTCTTGAAATTAGTTCAGATCCATCTTAGCTCTGAAAGAGACTGACTTGGGAAAGGTGAGTCAAAGTTGCAAAGCAAAATAAAGATTTTTTTGTGACTCAAACTTTGTCAAGCAGGTTGCAAAGGAGAAACATTAGTGTCACCCATCAGCAGTCATAGAGTGCTGAACACAGGAGTGTCACTAATTGCCTACCATTTTTCCTATAAATCCCAGCTCATATGATGATGAACACTCCTTAGCCTATGAACAACTACCCTAACACAATCATACAATTCTTCATGCTTGTATGTTACACTAATATAATACATGTACTATGTGCACATGAAGCCAACTTAAAGTCTGCTTCTGCCAATATAATCATGTCTCCAATAGTTCTCTCATGATTCTTCTTCTTCTTCTTCTGCAACCAGAGTATTGGAATTCAATGTTTTGGGCATGTCCTTCCTAATTTGCTTCTTCATCATCAACAATGATAAAGATGCAAAGCAATATTAAGCCTGTGTTTCCAAAAAAAATACACATAACCAGTACTTCACCATGGTTGTGTAGATTCTTATGCAACTTTTGTGCATCTTGAGAACATATATTGCTCAAATCTTTGAATAAATTGCAGATACATTTGAACAAAATAGCTGCTACAAAAATTGGCTGCCCTTTGTTATTGAATGGCAGTAGATTAATTGGACTGCTATGTTAAGTTTCCTTCTGTGGTAGGTTTGAAACACAAAACCAGAGCAGTGGAAGGAATGAACAAAATGATATTTCTTGGAATGAATTGTAAGAGACATTTCAACCACAGATGTCAATATCTATTGAGATGAAGTGTTGTTGAGCAATCACACTTCCAGCTGACATCAAAGAAGCTCTGGGACTAACTGCATCACTTGACCTTTGTCTCACAGCAGTGCACAAAGTTTGTCCAGAACATACATTAAAGAGGGTCATGTGATTTAGTGAATGCTGTGGCCTTGGAGAAGGCCTAATTACAAAAGACAAAATGGTATAGTTATTACACTAGTGAGGACTGGCTTTATGGTGACAGCAAATGTCTTGTGATTTCTATTAATTCAAACCAACAATGATGATGCATCTATCTTATGGTTTTATCCAAAGGAAAAGGATAAAAGATTGCTCTTCATTTTTCACACAAAGGAAGAAGATGTGTGTTTAGCTTCTCCTCAGCCATGTTAGAAAAAATGTTCTGTTATTGAATCTCTTTTTTTCTGGTTGAAATAAAAGATTTTTGTTGAATCTTTTTTTTTTTATGGGTCTTTTTATAACTGCACCTTTAAGCATAGATTTGCCAATTGTTGCAGTCCAACTTGATTCCATGTATCTTTTCTAGAAGATTAGCCTGTTGGTATTATCCATTTTTGAGCTCCAAATGCTCACAGCCATTAAGCTTTACTAGGAAGAAAAAGCACTTGAGATTTTTTCTACATGTGTTTTGCTTAAAAGCCTCATCTCAAGCAAGTCTGTGGGTAAGTGGTTCAGAGTCAATTGAAAATGTAAATAGCTGCAAGAAAAAAATTTGTGGTCATGGTTTAATATTAGAGTGAGAAAAATGAAGACTGAAAGGAGAGAGAAAACAGAATAATAGTTGATGTGACAATAAGAAAACAATTCCCACCATCAATATTAGATTTAAGAGATACTTCCACCAAGAAGCTTAATCAAATTCAAGGTTCTTAGAGAAAGAATCATAGGACAGGGCAACACACAAAAAACAATTTGTGGGAAGCATAACAGAAGGTGCAAAAAGCCTAAATTCCATGTTCTTCTTTAGCCTAAAGTCCATTGGGCATCTTATTCTTTAGCTGTGTAAAATGCATGAAACCATGATGCCAATCAGCATTGAAATAAGCAACATCTAAGCTTAATGAACTCCAATCTGAGTGACACGAGACAAAATAATTATAACAAGCTAACATGCAAATCCTGAAAGAAAAAAAAACACTAAATTAACAGAAGAATAGGAGTGAGAAGATGAGATGGGAATCATTGGTTAGTCAAGCTGGAGGGAGGTCTTCTTTGCCAAGTGGTGCTTGTTGTTATGCATCCACACCTTGAGGACCCTTCTCTTCACCCCAATCTCCTGGCAGAACTGCTGCACCATACTCTCCTCCTGCTTCTGAAGCCTCCACCCCAGCTTCTCAGCAAAGCTCAGCATCTTTTCCTTCTGCTCTGGGGTAAACTTGGTCCTGAACCTCTTCTTCACCATGGGAGGCCTTGCCATCACCCCGCCCACCACCCCTTCCATCTCATCAGACTCAGAGGCCTGCATGGCACCCAAAGGCATGATCATGCTGTGTGGTGTAGCCCTTGGAATGAAGCTACGGCTTGCAGGGCTGTAACCAAATGCACCCATCATCTTGCTCCATCTAATGGGTTGGAAGCAGTCGCACGAGGGCTCTCCTTCTGCCTCTTTCCTATGGAAGTTCCTGTGGCAGCTGCAAGCAGAGCACTTCAGGGCCTCTAGAGTTCCCTCCTCACCACTTGGCATGAACTCACCACAGCCATCAGTGGCATTCCCACCGATGGATGCTGCGTGGTTCTTGAGGCACTCCCTGTACTTCACCACCACCCCTTTCTTAGTGCTGAAGGATTTAGCGTTGTGGTGGTCCTCTCTGGTGTCAGTGGAGACGGGAGAAGCAGTGCCATTGGACGAGTGGTGGATGGGAGGGGTGTCATGGATGCTGCTGTGGCCAGGGGCCTGGCCATGACCACCAAAATATGAACTGTTTATTGGGATTGGGATCTCTTTTTCATGGCCAGAAAGATCCATTCTCTCTCAATATTTGTGCTATTTCCTTTTGTAGTGTTCTTTTTGACCTCCACTCAACAAGGAAACAGGTCAAGCTCAAGATTTCTTTTTTTGCTGAAAGGAAGGACAATTGAGAATTTGAAATAGACCAACCTTAAGAACCAAAATTCCAGCTATTAATGATTGCTTTTCCTTGCCCTTTTGACAGAAAACTTGAGCTCCATGGTTCAGGGGAACCTTATCCAGAGACACACCTCCACCACTTCCAAACCAGAAGACCCAGCAGGAGATAGGAGACACCAGAAGTGGAAGAGATGCTCGAGGACTCGAGTGTTTGTTCCAAATGACTGCTTTGAAAACTTGGAAGGAAGAAGAAGAAGAAGAAGAAACTTAGGAACTGCGATAAGACCAAACAGTCATTGGTATCTGCAGAGGTGCTGACCTCCCCCACTAAGAAGGAAAAAAACACTTGACTAAAGTCTTGTTGGTTGTGGAAGATTAGTCTTTCCCACCCATGAGGAAACCAACAAGAACCACTGATTCAAATGACCACTTCATTGTCTCAGAGTACACCTCAAGAATGTAGGCAGAAATACTCCGTGATGGTTCATGCAACAATGCAGCAGAACGCGTGAGAGCATGGGAGAGAAAAAACCTGACTGCAATTTACTCCAAGAAGCTCTGGCTGGCTTCCTTCATAGGAAGATTCAGAGTGTTTTCCATTGTGCTTCCCATGGCAAGAAGAAGGAAAACAAACGAGGCCAAAGGGTTGGAAGGATAGAAATGAAGTGGTTTGGTAGAATGGTTGTGGTTGTGAGACACTAAATAGTGGTCTTACAGCAGTAGTGAGGAGCAAAAAGGTTGGAACAAGACGGAGGAGAACAGAGAAAGGCTCAGGGGGGCTGTGACCAAACAAAGATAAAGTGTGGGGTGTTTGCTTTGCTTGCACTATCAGGAATCAAGCTTAGGCTATAGATGGAGGGAGATGACAAAGAGAGAAAGGGAGCTCACTGTAGTGTCAGAAGGGAAGAGGCACACAGTGAGAGACCACATAATGAATTGGAGGAACACAAGGAAAGGTAGCCACCAAATTCCCCTTGAAAGAAGATAAAATGGCACATACATGTATCAAAATATTCAGGAAAAGAGATCCATATATTTAGGAAAACAAACTATTGAGATCTCTATATAAAGTTAAAAGAGTAATTTCACAATGTTAAAAAAGAAAGATTTTGTTAAAGCAACGGATTAAATATTTCACTTTATCAATATAATTTTTGAAAGTATAAGAATCGAAATACTAAAGATTGCTAATTACATGAAGTAATATATTGATCACCGTAAACTTAATTATTTAATTTCCTTATCAGATAATTATGATGTGATTAGGTATTGAATTTAGAAAGCAGAAGCCAAGAAATATCATTTTAATCTCTTCAATTGAGACTGCCATTCAAAAAGGTGGATAACATGGCCCATAAGATTCATCATCTTTAGCTTTCAGTGACCAAATATCTCCCAGATGTTGAAAAATATTCTCCATCACAGAGCCTTTTTTCTTTGCTTTAGAACGAGATGAGATTCTTGAACACGTCTGAAGAAGAGGACATGAAAACTTTCAAAGTGGAAGTCAGCATGAGAAGCTCAGTGCCTTGTTCTTGCCATGTCTGCATCTTCTACATGCATGTTGCTTTATTCTTCAGTACCTCCTTCAGTCAGCTCATCCTTTTCTTGAATCCTTCTTGCAGCCCTATAATACTGTTTTGTTTTCTTTATTCCTGGAGATCCTTCTATCAGCCTCACTTTGTGGTAATCACAAATTAGTAGACAGCACTTAATGAACAACAACAATTTGCTTCAGAATTGACAGATCATCCTTGAGGAGGGAACAGTTGATGTTGTCTTCTTAAATGTTTTTTTTCTAAGCACTCACCAAAGTCATTTGTCATGATTAATTATGTAAATAAATAGGCTAATTACATAATCCTTCGTAACTATATCTCTTTAGTATCTTAATCTTTAGATTTAAAAAATTTACATTAAAATCCCTATAGTTAAACCTCTTTAGCATCTATCCCTACTTAAAAAATTTATATTGAAATCTCGTTATGAAAATTAAACATTTAATCTTATTTACTCTAACATCATTGATTTTACTAACGAAAGATATAGATCGAGTCAAAATTATCTTTTTGTCTATTGTTTTCGTGTCATTTGTGACATCGATAACGTTAGCCATCACGTCATTCTCATCGATCATCACCACAACAGTCACCCACGACATCATTGTCCGTCACTATCATTGAAATTATCTTTTTGTCAATCATTTTTTATCATTCATACATGTATTATCACTGTATCTTCTATCGATAAAGCTAATGACATTAGGGTATATGAGGTTAAATGTTTCAAATTCGAAACCAAAATACTAAAGAGGTCTAACTATAAAATTTTTACGTAATTTTTTTAAATCTAGATATCGAAATACTAAAAAGATTTAGCTACCTAAGACAATTTATAATTAACCCAAATAAGCTCATATGGGTACAGTCACATATTAAATTTCATTAATGAATGTGTGCTTGTTGGAGTGTAGAGAGAGAGAGAGAGAAATAAATTTGGGTTGCTGCAGGAGGGGGGAAGCTGGTAGTTGTGGCAGCAAATTAAATGCATTGTTGGTGTCACAGCGATCACGCGAGTCGTAGGCTCCCAAGCAAATCCAACCTTGATTTCTCAGCCAAATATGCCTCATCTCAATCATCTGACACAGCCAAGAAATAATCCTCCTCATCTTATCCCCTTATCCCTTCTTGTTCCTCTACAGTGTACCCCTCAACCACAAAAAAGACACTGCCATAAGGTCATTATCGCTTCATCTATTTGCCTCATCAATCTAAAAGGTTGGAATAAAAGAATTAGTGGGGTCCCACGATGGAAATTAGCAAGTCAAACAACAATTTAGGTTCTATTCTTAATGAGCAAAAATGAGCTTACCCTATTCTTTTTAGAACTCAACAAGAGTATCTAATGTCAATCACATCATCTTTTTATTACTAAATCATATTTTTCTCTTTTGTCTTGCTTTATTCTAAATCAAATTTCTTTAATTTATGATCAACTTGTTCTACATTCACTACACATTAATAATCTTTCTAATCATATTGGTAATTCTGGTAATTTTGAGTCATCATGTTCTATCTAACCATTCCTTGACTGGTATTAGAATCTCTCCATCAAAATTTTCATAATTTCATTTTAGATGTTAGTTTTCTTTTTTTTCGGTATAGAATAAATGAAGAAAAGATCTGTAGGACTCTAAGATGATCTGAAAAAAAATTTTACCAACTAAACTTTGGCATCTCTCTCCTTTATCAAAAATTTCATAATTCCACTATAGATGGTAGTTTTTTTTCATAAAAGATAAATGCTGAAAATATATTTCGATCTCAAAACTTTGTGGAGATCTCATAAAGTCTTAACTGAGCAAAAAATATGTTAGAAAAAATTTTAAACTTTCAACCTTATGTTTGGTGGTGACACTTATTCAATTCTTATTCAAGTTTTCAAGCTTTTTTTTTCTTTTTCTCAACAACATGATTTTTTGAGCAGCTTATTTTGGTTTGATGACCTTCAAGATCACATATATGGTCAGAAATAATTGTTGTTTTTGTCTGTTCATGGTAGTTCTAAGTTCAATCTGAGGAACTTACCTCAGCTGATGTTTATTCACCATCCTCTTTTTATTTCTATGGTGAAGCTTCTAAGAAAATTAGACAAAAGATCATCACCAACCTTGCAAATTATAATAGACATTGATAGTGGCAAGTGAAGCACATAAACAAACAAGAATAATTGTTTATGATATCATCCAGAAAAAATGCCAAGTGCTAAATCTAATCTTTAGAAAAATAACTGAGGCTTTTCTATGATGCACAAGCAATATAAAATCCAGGTCAGCTGGCCTCAGATTAACAAGTTGCTATAATTAAATTAATCTACCATGTCTGTGGGGGTGAAATCAAATCTAAGTTGGTTTTAGTCTCAGCAGAAACAACTTGTTCGAGCAACAAAATAAGAACATAATTATGATCATAATTGTGTAGTTCAAAAGCATAATTACCAACTGATAGGCTCTTATTTATCTGTGCCAACACAATAAAAATGCTCTGTTTCCTTTCTTAATGATTTTGTGATCATATGACATCTATCATGTTACAAACAGAAAAAAAATGTCGGTTTTATACTATGCAATCGTCTGTTAGCTCGTAAACTGCGTATTATCTTTCAGAAAATAAAGCTAATTAGCAATGAACACTGATATGAACCATCGATGAATCAGGCATCACCTATTATTTCCTTGGATAACAAAATGGCTTAACCTGGTAGCAATAATTAGGACACTGCAGCTTCTCCCTAAGTACCTTTAGTATATGAAGAATGAAAAGGCTTTGTGCATCCATATTTCTCCCTTTCATTTTCTGAATCTACTTTCTGCTGACTTGAGCTTACCACACTGTCGAAGACACAAGAAATGACTAGCCTTTGGTGATTGCACGCGGATTCCATGCTTTACCTGATAATAACCAAGAGTAAGAAAGGCTGAGCTTTTTGAACCTCAAAATCTATATATATGAGAAAAAGGCAAGTGCAAGCTCGATTGCTACCTTTTTTTCTTGGTTTTTGGGTGTTGTCCAACAGTGGAGGCCAATGCAACAAGGTCTTGGCTTGTATTCCCTAACATAGATCATGCCACATTATGCAAGGAATGGATTAAATCAAGGTAGATACAAACACCTGATCATAGTTGTAAGATCCTAGTGTTATTGTGTAACACCAAAAAAATCACCCTTCAGCAAGTGTCTTATTACTAAGAATTATGCACTACAATTGGCCCAGGAAAGTTTTTTGACTGAAAAAGAGACCATGAGCAAGAAACAAGATCAGCCACCGATCCACATACAAATGCAAAGTGTTCGAATTTGTTATTTTCTATCCATACCAGTAGCTGGTATTCGCATTTTAATCAAGAGTTAGGCATCCCTTTCTCACACTAAAATAGCGTAAAAAACATATACAGGTGTGAATATATAAACTGATTCAGTTGGATAGATCTGACATGTGCATTTTAAAATAAAATGTGGAACTTCGAAAAAAGTAATAAATATGTCAACTACATAGGAACTCAGCATCAGGTAAGCAAATGAGTCAATTGTTCGCAAGCAGCTAGTTATTTGGCTCGTTAATGTCTTGCTCAAACTCATTCACAATGTCAATGGACTAGCTTTACTCATTCCAAAGTTTGGTTTTTAAAAAAACCGAGCTTGAACATGACAGAACTTGATTCATCTAGGCTTGCCATCTAACTTGTTAGTTGTTTGACATTTGAGAGATTTTGAGATAGTCTAAATCTTACTTCTAATCGCTGAGTTAGGAGTTGAAAACAATTTCTTGTTAAAAATGTGATGTAAAACAATCGATTCCCGAAAATAACTGCTCCTCTAGAAATTACACCAAAAACTCAACTCTTTTTAGATTCAAAACTTAGATATTTTATTTCATAGAAAAGAACCTTATTTGGAATCCTTATCCCAAGATGTCAAGTTTCAAGTCAAAAGATCCCTGAAATAAGTCGACACATGCCTGAACAAAGCAAAGCTTGAGTCAACTGGCTAGATTGCAGTAGAGACAAGCATCTATTATTGTCAGCCTACGGAATATGGAGAAAGCAATCAAATACAAAATACCCTTGTAAAAATTCATCAAATTTTTTGTGACACCCTAATTTGCTTCCACATTGGAAATGTGAGGCTGTTATAAAGGAATATAGGTTAGATGGGTTTTTATCAACTACTTGAACATATCAGGTCATGTGGTTTCAGTTTATCAAGTTAATTGGTGCAAATTTTCATTGGGACAGGTAATGACAATTGATATCATAGCATAACTCGTACAGATAGGATGAGGGGTCCAAGTATGAAAAGGATTACATGTGACGAGGCTGGAGGCAATTCAAACATGAAACCATTACCTGATCTTGAACTTTGACAAAAGCCTAAATTAAAGGAGGTTGTAATGACCTATAAGTGGGAGG